TAAGGATCAATCTCCAAGACCAAGCCACTCTAGATCGAGATCACACATCTCCCATGGGCGTTCGCGAGGACCAAGTTTTCAAAGGCAGTATTCGCGAGAGGAGTACTTCGTAGGGATGGATCCGCGAGACAGATGTTCGCTAAAAGATGCATCCGCGAGACAGGTTCGCGAAGAGATGATTCACCAGACAGAGGCTCATGAAGAGATGTATCATGACACAGAGGTTAGCAAAGGGATGAATCACATGACAGGCGTTAAGCAAAGGGAATTTAGAAATAGAAGTTCGCGAAAGGATGATTCTAGAGATGGAGGTTCGAAGGGATGACTCAAAGGATAGAGGTTCTTGAAAGCAAGGTTCGCAGAAGGGCGATTACGTGGAGGCATAGTTCTCACGGACCGAGATTTATCTGATGAACAAGGTGACTTCGTCTTCCCAGACTCAGAGGTTACAGCTTGGATAGCCAATGGATTGAAATTAGAGTCTCCTTTTAAGGATGTGGATGAAGTCTACACATATAAGATGTGCAACAACGACTTTGACTCGGTGACTATTCCTCGATTGAACCTATATCCAAGGTACCTTCTAACCTATGTACGGTTTTTTAGAAAACGACCAAGTTCAAGAATCAGCATCTGCCATCCTTTAATGTGAGGAAATTCCCATTACATCACATGGATTATAAAAGCCCCAAATCTAGATACTAACATGAAGTTAGTCAACAACTCTCGGAACAAGATATCCAAAGTGGATGATAAGAAGTTGGCCCAACTTGATACTGTGACAAGAAGATCGGCTTCTTCCGGCTTAGCCAGATCCAGAGCAATCAATGAGGCATTGATTAACAAGTTCCAGAACCCCCACTGGGAGGAGGATAGGATGATACTATCAGCTCTGCTCACTCAGAAGAAGGACCAGTACTTTATATCGGACCATCTGGCCTCTCGTCGGTAGAGTCTCACATTATTTACGGAGACAAGGTCTACTGGCATCTTGTTCGTGGTATGACAGATTTACCCAACTGCTGCTTAGAGCTCCGTGGGAGGCGCCTACTATCTTCGGAGGCGAGATAGATGATGCAGCTAAGGAAGCTACTCACAATACAAGGGAAGTCATGATGATTAAGTCTATAGATACTCTAGCCAACGTCATTCATCATACTTCATAGAAGTACAACAGCAAGTCGAAATATTCCGGCATCCAGAAGGCTAAGGAGAAGAAGTACTCCAGCTTCACAGGCGGGAAAAGTTCCTTTCTTCGCCCATCCGGAAACTACAGAGGGAACACAGGGAGAGGACGTACTCCCAGAGGATCCAGAGGAGCTCTACGTTGATATTGGGGTTCGGAATGACTGGAGTCTTCCACCCCCAGCTGTTCCTTTTAAAACCATCGACAGTGGACGTCTACAAAGGTACTGGGAAAATTGGGGAATAGTAGAGGATGAGTACTGCAAGAAGGATACAGATTGCAGCTCAAGGCCACACCGCCGTTAACTCTCAGACCGATGGTCTTCGATTACGCAGATTAGCAGGCAGACAAGTTGCAAGAAGCCATCAACTCACTTCTAATCAAGAATGCGGTGGAGAGAAAAGATCAACATCATCTCACGCCAGTCTTCTACTCCCCAATTTTCGTAGTACCCAAGAAGAATTCCAAAGAGAAATTCAGTTTGATTTACAACATGCACAAATTCAACAAGGACTATCTACTGAAACCAGACAGGTTCAGAATGATCCACCTATTCAACTACTCGTCCGTCCAGCAGATTACATGGCCAGCATAGACCTTCAGGATGCAAATCTGCACATCCCCATACATCCGGAATCAAGGAAATATCTACGATTCCTATTCAGAGGTCAGCACTTCCAATGGAACATTCTACCGTTTGGAATATCTTCGGCTCCGTGGCTATTCACGCGAATAACCAAGCCTATAGTCCTCGCAGTGCCTTTTACCTGGATGACGGCATACAGGTTCATCAAAGTGCCAGTCAACTCAGACTACAGCTGATGGCTGGTGAACCGAATGAAGTCAAGAGTTGGAACCAAAACAAGATCTTCAATTTCTGGGGATAAGATATATCACAACGCAGAATCATATTGTCGTCTCAGAAGATCGTTGGGTCAAGATACAAGCCATGATTTCCTCAAGCAGTCATGTCTCCATTAACACTACGAACATGGCAATGTCTACTCGGTCTACTAACCTCAGTACAGGACTTGACTCGCACAGGAATATTGCAACTACGTCCGCTGCAACATTTCCTGGCAAAACATCTGGACAGCGTCGACCCTATCTCACTACCAGACAACCTCAAGAGATACCTGCTTTGGTGGACCCACATGTCGAATGTCTGCGGAGGGACCTATTTACAAGAGCCGGCCTTCGACACACATCTCTACGTAGACTCATCGATACAAGCTGGGGTGCACATCTCATCAATCAAGTTGCATCAGGAAAGTGGTCCAAAACAGAGCATGGTCAAGCTCGCTGATCAACAGAATGCTGATGGTCCATACGGACAACTCTACAGTGGCATTCTCCATAAATCGGCAAGGATCTACAAGATCGCCAAGCCTACTTCAGCTCACTTCCAGTTGTTTGACATCACAGAGGAGGCAAACATCTGGATAAAGGCGTGTCATATACCAGGAGCCAAGAACGTACTAGCAGACGCTCTTTCCAGACCACTGCACCCATCACCTACGGAATGGATGCTGCATCCAGAAGCATTCCAGCTCATCATAAAGGAAATTGGATCCCCATGTATATACCTGTTTGCCAGGAGGTTCAACGAACAGCTACAGACATTTGTCTCACCAGTTCCAGATCCTCAAGCCTGGGCAACAGATGCACTGAGCATATCTTGGGAAGGACTAAACGCTTACGCGTTTCCACCCCCGATATTACTACCGAAAGTACTGTTGAAGATTAAACGGACGCAGACTCTACAACTGTCTTTGGTCGCACCTTACTGGCCAGCGAGAGCATGGTTCCTAGACCTAATAGAAGATCTCGTAAGTCCAACCCTCAAGTTACCAGAATGGCCGAACCTACTTAGAAATCCACACACCAAGCAAGTCCACAGGAACCGTATACTGTTCCAGGTACACATGTGGACCGTATCAAAACCTGTCTGAAGGAAAGAGGATACTCCACCAGAGCAGCAAAGGCAGTAACCTTAGCATTGCACAGATCCACTCGTAACTTGTATGACGACAAGTGGCAGAAGTTTGAGACATATGCAAGGCAGAAAGGCTTCACAGCTATTAAAGCTACTCATCCTCAAGTGGCGGAATATCTATGTCATCTTAGATATACTAGACATCTGAAAGGTTCGACATTATCCACATATCTGGCAGCCATCAGTACAGTTATCACTATGAAGTCAGGCATCAAGTCGACGAAAGTACCAGAATTACTTGTTCTGCTGCGATCTTTTAAACTGGAAGACCAGCAAGAGACATTCAGAGCACCGCCTGGGATCTGAATGTAATTCTGCATCATCTCATGAAGCTTATGCCTACAAACCTCTAGAACAGACTACCTTCAAGTTGCTTACACAGAAGACTCTGTTCCTGCTTGCCTTAGCCACGGCATTTCGAATGTCTCTGATACATGCACTGGACTTTGGACGAACTAGATTCGACACGGGGCACCATGCTGCAGTACATCTAGAACTCAGATGGGATTTATTGCCCAGAATCAGTTCCATCGCACCAGCGCTATCTCACGATCCTCGGACCAGAGGATGCGCAGGACTTATCCTTGTGTCCTGTCAGAGCCCTGAAGATATATCTTCAAAAGACTAAAACAAGGAGAAGAAAATTCAAAAGCCTATTCATCCCAAGTATCTACAGAGACATCAGTAGAAGTCTTAAGAACGACAATATCATTCTGGATGAGAGCCGTTACATTGAGAACCTACAAAGCAGCAGGACTAGAACCTCCAAGAGCTTCCAACCCACACGAAGTCAGACCACTGGCGTCAACACTAGCTCTGCATGGAAATTGCTCTATATCATCAATTATGGAGGGCTGCTTTTGGAAGTCGGATATGGTGTTTGCCAACCACTACCTCTGAGACATAGCCACCGAAGACATCTCCGGCATTCACCAGTTTGGGCCTTTCGTTGTAGCACAGCAACTAACGGTTCCACAAAGGCGTTGAGTTGGAAATTTCACCCTTTATCACGTGGACTTGTTGATAACTTTTACTAAGGAAAAGTATTAGTTTGAAAGTCCAGGAGCACAGTCTAGGCCAGACTAGCATGAGTGATTAAGACTGTACGGGTAAAGATCTTACCTGTACATTAAGGGGTCGCAACTCAATTATGATAAAGATCTTAACATAATCTATGGGTTGTTATAGATAACTAGTAAGAAAAAGATACTAGAATATCTGAAGCCATATGAATCTACAAGATTCAACTTGTCTGAGATGGAAGTAAGACAAGAAAGTGGTCCCCCGAGTTATAATGGAAGTTGGAAGAATACAGGATCTAGGAAATGCCGTTACGCAGTTCCCATGGGAGGGATACAGAACGTATCTAAGGACAGCTGATGAATCCAGGAAGTGGCTTGACCAACCACCAATCCGAAGGATTCTATAAGCAGAGATCATGAGTCAGGATAAGGAAAAATATGTAATTTTTCAAGTAAAATTGATATTTTATACTTATCCTGACTCATGAGGACAAGCCCTCCCAACCTCCCCGTTGGAAACACTTTGGATTTCACAGTAGGTCCAGGTTCATGGGCAGGAAATCAGGAGAGAGTGACAAGTAAGGCTGGTCACATGACTGTTTACGCGGGAAAAGGGAGGTAACTCGTGCGTGAGTGTACTTTTATGTCCGCTTTAGGGAACTACAAAGGATTCAAGTCTTCCACTACCATTCGCATAGAAGAGGGAGATAAGCAAAGATCATGAGTCAGGATAAGTATAAAATATCAATTTTACTTTAAAAATTACGTTATTTTTGTTTTTATTCATTTGTTGCAGCATTCAGCAGAATCATTCCACGTCATTTCATTTCGCCATGAAGTTCTTCGATGAGACAACAATATACACATAAGGCATGTGTGTGCATATGAATCACGTTGGTAATCTATAAAATGTCTAGACATTACAGTCATGTTATAAATTCACTGAAGCAGATCCTGTACTTTTTATAAAGTTCCAAAATGCGTAAAATATAATGATGAATTCATTCGGATTATAAGACAAAAATATAAAGATGTATTTGACTTCAGGGTTCTTTTCAGTCGTAACATTTTGTATCACTGGCAGATAAGGTTTAACTTCATATTGTGTTCATTTGTTATCATAATAATGAAAATGGAAATATTAATGAGTGACAAGTCTGTTTTATAGCATAATTAGATACTCCATTATTTTCACAGATAGTGCTTGTTGACAAAAGAAGCTAAGTTGTGATGGCCAGCCACGATAAGGACAGTGGACATCTGGTCTTGGCCACTTCCAGACGAAAGTCTGAAGACAACATGGCCACTTCCAGTGGGCAACCTGGAGGTCTGGTGGCCCCATCCAGTGAACAGCCTGAAGGTTGGTTGGCCCCATCCAGTAAGCAGCCTGAAGGTCGGGTGGCCCTTTCCAGTGGGCAGCCTGAAGTTCGGGTGGCCCCTTCTAGTGGGCGGCCTGAAGGTCGGGTGGCCCCATCCAGTGGGCGGCCTGAAGGTCGGGTGGCCCCATCCAGTGGGCAGCCTGAAGGTCACAAGGGCACATCAAGATTGAGAGGTGACTTGCCTGTTTCTGAAGTTGACATATCCAGTTCAGATGAGGAATACCTTACTGCAGAGGATGACTCTGGTAGCAGCAGAGTCAGTTCAGACGAGGAACATGAAGGTCGCTTGGTACTCGCAGGTTCAGCTGAGCATGAGGAGGTTCTTGAGCTGGAGAACCAAGCAATCACTCTGAGTACAGGTGGGTGTCATTGTTGGTTTGATGAACATTCTCGAAGTTGGGGAGTAAAATATTTTAACACAACTGTAAGGATGACAACTTCTTGTTTATTGCATAGAGGCTAGAGCAATGTTGCAATGTTGATTCATACACTGTAGCTAAAAGTGACTACAAACAGCCAAGACAGACAGCAAATCAGCCATCACAGATCACCAACAAAATTTCCTTATCCAGTTTAACTAAGTCGAAATCCTGTCTCCTATCCACTGAGAAATCAGGAATCCACGAAAAAAAAACTTTGAATGCTATTGAACTTTGCCATCACAAACCCTTGATTTACAGATACCCAGGATACTCATATATATATAAAGTTTGGTTTGAAGATCTGATTTATAAACTAGAAAAAATAGGGGTTTCAGGCTCTTTACTGAAATGGTTATTTGCAAGACAGAAAACAACAAGTTGTTATAAATGGATTTCAATCTCATTTCCTCAGTGTTAATGCAGGAATACCTCAAGGTTCCGTTTTAGGCCCATTATTATTCCTGATATAACGATTTAGTTGTTAACATTGATTTATTCGCTGATGACACATCCCTTTTTATTATTGTGTAATATAGATGTGGAAAATGAAATCCATTTTTTACTTGTATGTCCTTTGTATAAAGATTTGTGTACGAAATATATGGCTGAATATTATCTATGTAAGCCACCTACATTAGCATTTAAACTACTTTCATCAACTGACCAGCATGTAATAATAAAGCTGTCATACTATATCAATTATGCTCTTATTAAACGTAACAATCTGATAAAAAGTTTTGTAGGTCCATCGTATTTCACTACTTGTACATAATTTACTGCCTGTATCATGATTTGCTGTTTGAATCACTACCGTATATGACCGTCTATAAGCCGAACTTTGAGGACCAAAAAAAGCAGTCTGTAATTACTACTTATTGCACCATATGTATAATGTATATGTATAACTCCAATGTATATGGGCCGGAGGCCTTTTGTACAATAAACATCTTTGACTTTGATAACCCTGATGTTACTGCTACTTACCTCAATCATGACTTAGAACAAATTGTTAATTGGGCTAGAGATTGGAATGTCGTTTTCAATCCTAACAAAACCGAAAGCATATTATTTTCACACAAACAACCACCCAGTAGACTTCCTGATCTTCACATGAATAATATCAACATTAAAGTAGTTTCCCATCATAAACATCTTGGTTTAACATTGCAAAGCAACTGTAATTGGTACCAATCCATTCTATTACTTTATTGGGAATTGATTTGTAGATAGCTTCCGCAAATATGTACGTGTTCGGGAGAGGCATTTATATAAGCCCACTGAGCTTGTTTGCCATTCACCTTTCTTTCTCTTGAAATAAAATATGTTTAAAACATTACGAGACTCTATCATAGCACACTATCACCCTGTTTTAAGTACTTAATCCATCCTGTTTACTGGCTTCATTACTTTTTCTGTTTGTTGTCATTAATACCCACCTGGTCTCATCTAATTATGTCTGGTGTCCTCCGCCGTGATGTTGCTGGAATATTGCTAAAAGCGGTGTAAAACCAACTCAGTCAGTCAGTCATCTAATTATGTGCCACTTGTGATTAAATTACATGCTGTTGTTAATGTTAATCTGCCGTTTGTCAGAACATACTATGTATATATGTATACTTATGATCACTTGTTTGTAGTCACTTTCTGCCTAATAACAGTGTAACAATCGACATAGAAACACCACTGTAAGCAAACACAAGAAGTTGTCATCTATAAAGTTTTATGCTTCATTCTTGGTGTCACGTTGTACTGGGCCTCCATTTTGTCACCCTGATTTTGTTTATTTCAAATAAAATACTCCTAGGGGCATTATTCAAAATGTAATGCATAAACAAAAACTGAATTGTTTGAGGTATCTTATTTGTGTAATTACACGGAATTTTGGATCAAGCACCGATTCAAACAGTAATTTGAATTTCATTCAGATTGACATTTTTGTCATGGGAACTTAATCTTGATGTCTTTCTACCCTGTTTTTATTTACTTTACTTGTTCAAAGCTGTCAATATTGTGTTCCAATTTCAAATGGAAACATTTCTATTTTCACCAATTAATATTGATTGCCACAACGGCTTGTTTAAGTGAGAAATACAGGCTTTAATATCAAACTCTTCTTCACCGAAACTGACATATTGTTCAAATATTTGATGTTCTTAGCCTCTTTTTTACAAAGGAGTAATGATTTGATTTTAAAAATCTCAAAATGGTTGCAATATTGTCCGAAGTTCAATATATGAAATCACTTAAATATCCAAATGTCTACCACATGCCAAGTTTAACAGGATTTTCTTTCTCGAAAACATCCTCTTGTATATCTAAAGGCGGCTATTTAATCCCATTGTATCCATTCTGTTACAAATGTTATAAATACTGGACCCATTTGCAAACAAGGCTTTGTTTCTGATATGACATCACAGTTTCTTGCAGTACAAACTTCACACAAAATGCATCTTGGTAATGAGAAATTACAGAAAAAACTGCCCCATGTAAACTTAGGAGATCGTGATACCAGTGATTCAGATTTGGTTCCTATCATACTTACCAGTGATTCAGATTTGGTTTGTTTCATGCTCTGATATTTAATATATATCATTGTTTACCAGTGATTCAGATTTGGTTCCTAACTTCCTATTGTCCTTTCAGTTTGTACATGCTCTTATATTTAATACACATCATTGTTTAGATTGGTATATGCCTCCTTAAGGAAGGGCATTGAAATGACAAGGTTCTGGGCTGCCTTGTTTTCAGCTAATGCCAATCAAGCAGATGATTGTTGAGCAGCTCAACAACTTTCTCGCATACAAGTAGCTAGACCCTTTGATTTCACAGAGTGTAGTAGAATGTCTCTACTTCTTGAACTAAATGTGAAGAATCTTACCCTGATTCATGATGAACAAGTTTTGATCATCAACTATTGTTATCAGTTGGTAAGTTTTATAATCAAGAGAAGACCAGATCGATTGAGCTGGATCTTTAGAATGATGTTCATCAAACTCTTAAGCTCTGCAACAGTATTAAATAGTTTATTCAGTGTGGAAAGAAAACTCCATGGTTACCATGGTTACTGATGATTCCTCCTGTTTGGTGTTGACAGGTGAAAAGCGTTCAGGGAATGCCCAAGTTGCCAACACTCTCAACATCATCACTGGAGGGGCAGGACAAGGAACACTGGGGAGAGGTGAGTGTTGATGGAGGAAGGGTCAGGATCTTGTTCAAAACTATTTGGCGTTTACACACCTGTGACCCGAGAGAAAAGTTCACATACTGTGGAATTCTTTTGTGCAAATCGATCATGTGAAATTTTGCCATTTTCCTCACAAGCTAGGAGGTTTTCATTGCTTTCAAATCATTCACACTATGATGAACCCATCCAAATTGACATTCAGTTCTTAATGAATAATGTTGTGTATGGTTACCTAGGAACAAGTCTGAATGAAGACAGTTGTCACTCAAGCTGTTTATTTTCCTATACCGTAAATGACCGTCTATAAGACGACACCATGGATAAGACAACCCCCAAACTTGACCCTTAAAATCAGTGTCAAAATGGTATGTTTCGTGCATAAGTCGATCCCCCGCGATGGGGTCCTAATCGCGGCAAACACAGACCACAGACAACTGGCAGTTACCAATAATTATAACTTTGGTCCACATTATTCAAAGAATTCACAGTCTTATATATTGTGTCTACTCACGGATCGAAACGAAGTGTAGTTGACAGAAAATGCATAATATATTTTGCTTCTCTAAATATCATATTTATTGTAGCAACAAACTGGCTTGCTTATTTTACCCCATTCAACAATCACGACCTGATTACCGCCTCGTTTTCCATTGACTGCTAGTTTACAGTAACATCGGTAAAAATGTGTGAATTTAAATGGCTTCCGTATTTTACCCCATTCCATGTGCGTACAACTTTTGCTTACCACGTTCATGCGGGTCCTTATAACCTTAGTGATGATTTTATGTACAGTGAGACCTCGGATATCCGGACACATTCATTTTTACGTAAATCGTCCGGATAATTGAATATCCGGATATCTGGATTTTTGGATTTCATACACCTCAAGGAAAATCCAAAATGTTTATGATCATCAAGCGTTTATTGTACATGTATGGACATTCAAAAACAGCATCACAACAAAACAATTATACCTTTACAATTATTCAGTTTTGAAAAAGTCTTTCATTGAGGACTGCTTACACTGGGTGCCCCTCCTTTGCAACACGACGGACAACATTTTGTCCAGGTTTTCACGGTCGCCATTGTTCTCAAAGTAGCTGAGTAGGCCTTCGTACTATTATTAAAGCTTACTTTGGGATTTTGTTCTTCGTAAAGACATATCTCTTTCTTTTCCTTGGCTGTCACTGCGTAGCGCTTGCGTTTAGTAGGTTGACTAGCCATTTGTGATCAATTGAAAGACCGACTGACTTGAATATTGACGCACTGCACTTTTATTGCTTTGACTGAATAAACAACTTAACAGTTAGAACTCAATGGTTAACTCAGTGTCAGCTAGGCCTTCTAATCACCACCAATACCTTGATTATCATTAATCCGGATTAGCCGACCATGTCTCGTGTCAAAACACGTGGGACTCTCGCACTTCCCTTCACACGGTTAGCGGTAGATCAAAGCTTCGGTGCGGATAGGTGAGTCAATTTGGTGTTGATTTAGCCGGTTTGTTTGTAAAATGTACCGTCCGGAAACGGAAACCGAATATCCGTTATAGACAGTCACTTTTATAACGTAAGAGATTGGTTTTTACTAAAAATTGACCGGAAGGCGAGGTTTCCGGATATCTGGGGTCCGGGTATCCGAGGTCTCACTGTATTTTACATAAAAACTCTAATTAAAATTACATAATGCTAGGATATATTTCTTTGGGTTAAATAATAGTATTCTGTATTATATTTTACTGATGACTGCGTCAGAATTCATCCTGTTGTATTATTGTGCATGTTTGAACTTGTTCGCCGGGAAACGTGTGCACAGCTGATTGCTATTTCCGGCTCAAATACACACGGTAATCTTAATCCCTGCAAATAATACAATGCCCAGCAAAAACAACTTATAACTTAAAAGGTAAATAATCTTGTCTAGTGATGTTTAATTGCAAAATTTGACGTCTCTACTGACAAAGTCGTCTTCTGTTGTTTGTTCACGCGAAGTGATACGATGTTGTTTTCTTACCCCTTTAAAAAAGTTTGACAAAAGCGTAACCCATGGATAAGACGACCCCCTTCTATAGACTGCTTTTTTGGTCCTCAAAATTCGGCTTATAGACGGTCATATACGGTATTAAAAAAAAAATAGGTTCAAATGTTCCATTGATACTTAAATGTCATTTCCAATATTACGATGTTTCTTTTGTCGTTCAGTATATTAGTTATTTGATTTCCTTGAACAATTCATTTAGACATAAACAAACATTTTTGTACAATATATACGTTTCTTGCACTCATCATGTATTAACTACCAGTACAACAACCATAATCACCTGTCAGTAAATAAAGAGATGTTTAGTGTTCAGTTGAAAGTACTGTGGCAGCGTTCTAGATGATGTTGTTATCTCTCAAACCTAAAGACTAAAAGGTTCCAACCACAATGAAATAGGTAATTATTTTGTCAATTAATGTTAACATCCTAGTATTTCCTGGTGTGGTAAACAGTTTTTGTATTCCTTCAGATACCCTTGATTTGCGCACAGATGAAGCAAGGAAGATTTTTGCTCCAACTGAAGCCTACAGAAAAGTGAAACAGAAGTTGAAGGAATTTGGTCATGTGACTATCTGTGGTGCTTCAGGAGAAGGCAAGACAACAATGGCTCTGATGCTGGGTTCACAGTATAGACAAAGGAGTCACGAGAAGTTGTGTTTGTGGACAGCCTTAAGAAGTTTGACTTTGACCGCGATGTCTTAGTACTTACTCAAGAGTATTTCTGATTGTGGATGATTTGTTTGGTACAGTTGGAGTATCTGCTAATACTTCACAGGTTAAAACTTTCTGAACAATCTTCTCCCCATTTAGAACAAAAGCAGAGAACAGAGAGAAAAGGTCAGAATTGAGTGAAAACAGTGATGCTGGTGAAAATCCAGAAAGAAAATGCAAAATTTAAAAGAATCTCAAACAAAGGATATTCATGTTGTCTTCACATCAAAATCATACAATTTCCATGATGGACTTGCAAAACTGCAGTATGAGGGTTTCAAATTGTTCAAGGGTCAAACAGTAGTGGACTTAACTACACACAAGAAATATTGGCTTTCTGACAAAGAGAAAAAGTCAATATTTGAACGACATAAACATGCTTGTGGTGACTGCTCTGTGCAACATATTCCAGATTACAGTGAGCTAGAAAGCTGTTCCAATATCTTTGGATTCCCTCTTATTTGTAAACTTTGTTTTGAATTTTCATCCTTTTTTAAAAATGCAAAGTCATTATTCAAGGAACCGCTGTTTTATCTTAGGTTAGAACTAAAGCAGTTACTTGAAGACAGAAATGATAGATCGGCCATTTTGGTTCTGATGCTGCTGTGTGAAGACAAATTGAACCTGACCACGTTAGACAGTGGAGATGAAGACAAGGAAATGGACAGGATGGTCAAAACTGTTCAAGACCTGATGCCAAATGCTACACGTTCAGGCATGTACAAAGCCGCTAAAAGTTTGAGAGGTACATTCTTCACAAGAGGAGACACTGTTGGCTTTGCCCATTCTTCAATTATTGATGCTTGTGCCTGTGCTATGTTCAATATCAGTCCAGTCTTTGTTTTGAAGAACTGTAGTGATGACTTTCTGTTTGAAAGAGTACAAGGTGAAAAAGTTGAAGAAACAACAGTTGATGACCATCTCCATCTGATATATGTCTCAGATAATTATGATGACCTACTTACCACAAGGTTTGCACATTCTATTAAACAAGGAAAGTTTTCTCAATCAGTCACACATCCTGTTCTCAAACGAGACACAACAGCGTTCAAACTGCTGAACAAACTTCAGTGTGATGGGACAAAGCACCACCATCATCATAATCAAACTGATTCTAAAGATGAACTTTGGTTTCACAGAAGAGAGAAAGGAAAATGTTTTCTGTACTGGGCTGTTCTTGGACATAATGCATGTCTAGTTACAGATGTAGAACACACAACTGGAGAAGAGTTCTCTCAAGAGGAGATCAGTCAAGGTATGGAAGGCTGTGCACATAGCAACAATGTGACAGTATTGAAATGGCTCTTCACTCGTTGTGAAAAACATGATCATCAACAGACACTAAACACACTTTTGTTGCAGGCTGCTGAAAATGGCGGTTCTGATATTCTCATGTATCTGCTCCAGGAAGGTGCTGATGTTAACACTAGAGACAAGAAGTTACAAAACATCTTCCATCTGGTCTGTAAGACAGGAATGGAAAAATCCTTGAAAATCCTGTTAAATAAGAAACCTGGAGATAATGTCATAAACTCTGCTGATGTGAATGGCCGAACCCCTGTCATGGTTGCAGCACATGCAGCATCAGAAAGATGTTTTGAGTTACTACGGAAAATATCAGACTTGAATGTGAAAGATAAATATTGCTATGGAATTATTCATCTTGCCTGTCAGGGTGGGAACAAGGCTATCGTGAATCATCTTCTGTCTCCTTCTAACATCAACAGTAGAGGGATGCATGGCTGGACGCCAGCGATGATGGCAGCTGCCAGTGGACATCAAAGTGTGTTTGACCTCCTTGTGTCCAAGCACGCTGACGTGACACTGGTGGATACACCTGGTGATAGTTTACTTCATCTTGCCAGTCGTGGTGGGAACACTGCTATAGTACAACGCCTCCTGTCTCGCTCTAACATCAACAGTAGAGGAGAACATGGCTGGACTCCGGCAATTGAGGCAGCTGTCGAAGGACATCAAAGTGTGTTTGACCTCCTTGTGTCCAACCAAGCTGACCTGACACTGGTGTCTACATCTGGTGATAGTTTACTTCATTTTGCCTGTCATGGTGGGAACACTGCTATAGTACAACACCTCCTGCCTCCCTCTAACATCAACAGGAGAGGGAGACATGGATGGACGGCAGCAATGGTGGCAGCTGTCAGTGGACATCAAAGTGTGTTTGACCTCCTTGTGTCAAACCAAGCTGACCTGACACTGGTGGATACATCTGGTGATAGTTTACTTCATCTTGCCTGTCAGGGTGGGAACACTGCTATAGTACAACACCTCCTGTCTCCCTCTAACATCAACAGTAGAGGTATGCATGGATTGACAGCAGTCATGAAGGCAGCTTTCAGTGGACATCAAAGTGTGTTTGACCTCCTTGTGTCCAACCAAGCTGACCTGACACTAGTGTCTACACTTGGTCATAGTTTACTTCATCTTGCCTGTCAGGGTGGGAACACTGCTATAGTACAACACCTCCTGTCTCCCTCTAACATCAACAGCAGAGGGATGGATGGAAAGACACCAGCAATGAATGCAGCTTTCAGTGGACATCAAAGTGTGTTTGACCTCCTTGTGTCCAAGCACGCTGACCTGACACTGGTGGATACATCTGGTGATAGTTTACTTCATTTTGCGTGTCAGGGTGGGAACACTGCTATAGTACAACACCTCCTGTCTCCCTCTAACATCAACAGTAGAGGGAGACATGGATGGACTCCAACAATGAAGACAGCTGTCAGTGGACATCAAAGTGTGTTTGACCTCCTTGTGTCCAACCAAGCTGACCTGACACTGGTGTCTACATCTGGTGATAGTTTACTTCATCTTGCCTGTCAGGGTGGGAACACTGCTATAGTACAACACCTCCTGTCTCCTTCTAACATCAACAGTAGAGGGAGACATGAATTGACGCCAGCAATGATGGCAGCTCTCAATGGACATCAAAGTGTGTTTTACCTTCTTGTGTTCAACCAAGCTGACCTGACACTGGTGGATACATTTGGTGATAGTTTACTTCATTTTGCCTGTGGTGGTGGGAACACTGCTATAGTACAACACCTCCTGTCTCCCTCTAACATCAACAGTAGAGGGATGGATGGAAGGACACCAGCAATGAACGCAGCTGTCAAAGGACATCAAAGTGTGTTTGACCTCCTTGTGTCCAAGCACGCTGACCTGACACTGGTGGACACATCTGGTGATAGTTTACTTCATTATTCCTGTCAGGGTGGGAACACTGCTATAGTACAACACCTCCTGTCTCCCTCTAACATCAACAGTAGAGGGAGACATGGCTCAACATCAGCAATGAAGGCAGCTGTCAGTGGACATCAAAGTGTGTTTGACCTCCTTGTGTCCAACCAAGCTGACCTGACACTGGTATCTACATCTGGTGATAGTTTACTTCATCTTGCCTGTGGTGGTGGGAACACTGCTATAGTACAACACCTCCTGTCTCCTTCTAACATCAACAGTAGAGGGAGACATGGTTGGACACCAGCAATGCATTCAGCTGTCAAAGGACATCAAAGTGTGTTTGACCTCCTTGTGTCCAACCAAGCTGACCTGACACTGCTGGATACATCTGGTGATAGTTTACTTCATCTTGCCTGTGGGGGTGGGAACACTGCTATAGTACAACACCTCCTGTCTCCTTCTAACATCAACAGTAGAGGCAGACATGGCTGGACACCAGCAATGAAGGCAGCTGTCAGTGGACATCAAAGTGTGTTTGACCTCCTTGTGTCCATCCAAGCTGACCTGACACTGGTGGCTACATCTGGTGATAGTTTACTTCATCTTGCCTGTCGTGGTGGGAACACTGCTATAGTACAACACCTCCTGTCTCCCTCTAACATCAACAGTAGAGGTGAGTATGGCTGGACACCAGCAATGCATTCAGCTGTCAGTGGACATCAAAGTGTGTTTGACCTCCTTGTGTCCAAGCACGCTGACCTGACACTGTTGGATACATCTGGTGATAGTTTACTTCATCTTGCCTGTTGTGGTGGGAACACTGCTATAGTACAACACCTCCTGTCTCGCTCTAACATCAACAGTAGAGGTGAGTATAGCTGGACACCAGCAATGGTAGCAGCTGTCAAAGGACATCAAAGTGTGTTTGACCTCCTTGTGTCCAACCAAGCTGACCTGACACTGGTGGATACATTTGGTGATAGTTTACTTCATCTTGCCAGTCAGGGTGGGAACACTGCTATAGTACAACACCTCCTGTCTCCTTCTAACATCAACAGTAGAGGGAGATATGGTTGTTACGGCAGTCATGAAGGCAGCTGTCAAAGGACATCAAAGTGTGTTTGACCTCCTTGTGTCTAACCAAGCTGACCTGACACTGCTGGATACACCTGGTGATAGTTTACTTCATCTTGCATGCAGTGGTGGGAACACTGCTATAGTACAACACCTCCTGTCTCCTTCTAACATCAACAGTAGAGGTCAGCTTGGATGGACTCCTGCCATGGTGGCAGCTGTCAATGGACATCAAAGTGTGTTTGACCTCCTTGTGTCAAACCAAGCTGATCCGACACTAGTGTCTACATCTGGTGATAGTTTACTTCATCTTGCAGTCCGTGGTGGGAACACTGCTATAGTACAACACCTCCTGTCTCCTTCTAACATCAACAGTAGAGGTCAGTTTGGATGGACGCTTGCCATGGTGGCAGCTGTCAGTGGACATCAAAGTGTGTTTGACCTCCTTGTGTCTAACCAAGCTGACCTGACACTGGTGTCTACATCTGGTGAAAGTTTACTTCATCTTGCCTGCCATGGTGGGAACACTGCTATAGTGCAACACCTCCTGTCTCCTTCTAACATCAACAGTAGAGGTGTGATTGGATACACGCCTGTATTGACGGCTGCCTTCTATGGACATAAAGATGTGGTTGACCTCCTTATACAAAACAAAGCTGACCTGACACTCCTAACAGACTGGAAAATGGATATCAGAGAAGTAGCTATGATGGGAGGGCATCCTTCATTGACCAGTTATCTACAAAGTGTTTACCTGCCACACTGATTTCACACATCTCCTATCAAACAGCAGCACAGGACTGTTCTACCATATGCTTCTGCTTGTACCGAGGGTTTGGGGAAAAGGAAAGGTACAAAAATGCAATCAGTGTACACAATAAATATTTTAAAGTCAACCAATCATTTGGATATCATTATAAAAATATAAGAAGAGGTAGATTTGCTGTAACATGTTAATTATCAGGCGATGTTGACTTCTGATGTTGACTCTTTGTGTTTCTGAAATCATTTATAACCAGGGTATTTAGAGTTGAAAACATTATATACATTTTATAAATATTTAAGGAAAAATTGAAGTCAAGTTCAGAAGGGTGAATGTACTGGGAAAGTGCGCTGACCAAGCTAACTGAACTGTTATTGATTTACTTTTCTTGGGGAATAACAAATTCTCTGAATTGACATCAATGAGGGTGAAACGTTCAAACTGGTGTTTCTACACAAATTGGGTGGATGGACATTTGGGATACAGATGGTCAGTTTGGTCAGTTTGTCAATAAAGGGGCATGCATAGGATCTGAAATGATTTTGATTAAGTATCTAGTAAGCGTCTACCAGTCTGAGATATTAGTTAGATATGTCAGCGTTGGGTTGATGTATGGCTTAAGGATAACTAGCAATGTCATTTTATCACTGGAAGAAATTGATGGTACCAAATAAAGTCTCGAAAGGGACTAATGAAAGTAACTAATTATCAAGATTGGATATGAGTCATTTCTGGAGGTAGGACATCATTTCGGGGGAGGAGCCAGAAATTGTGAAGAGAACTAAAAACTAGTTGACTGAGAGAGGCGGGAGAGACTGAGCCCTGCTGTTGACTTGAGAGGTTCTCTCTGCATATTGAGAGATTGGCTCAGATGAAATTGTAACTTGAGG